GCCAGGAGAGCTTTGGGGTGCCAGAGCCAGGAGAGCTTTGGGGTGCCAGAGCCAGGAGAGCTGGGTCCTCACTGGGGCTGGCGGGGGTCTCACCTCCCATCCCACCACGCTGCCCTCGCAGCCCCCCTTTGCAGGGGGGTAGGGGGGGTGTCCTGACCCTGCAAACCCCCCGGGCTCTCCCCCCCCTGCTCTGGCAGCCTCGGAGCCCAACCTGAAGGTTCGTTGCAAGCCCAGGAAGTGCCTGGACCGGCGCAAGAACCCCCTGACCCGCAAGGAGAGCGCTCCCCCCTCGCTCAAGAGACGCCCCCCCGAGCCCCTCGGTGAGCCCCACCAAGAGACCCCCTTGGGAGACCCCCCAGGGGGTTTGGGGAGACCTTGAGGGCCAGGCTGGAGCAGCTACAGCCCACCCAGGGTTCCCTGGTGGATCAGAATGGGATGTTATCCCAGCTCTGGGGTTGGGCAGTGCCCACCTTGCAGGGAACAGGGACAGAGGAGGGAGGGAACTTGTCCTCTGCTGCTTTTGGGGTCCCCAGGATGGACCTGCAAGGCTGGCAAGGTCCAAGACCAAGGTGGTGAGGCCTCCTGGCTGTGCAGAGCAGCTCCATCACCTCCCCCCTCCAGCCAAAAGGGGGGTTTGTCCCCCGGGAAGGGCAGCTCTTCCAGAGGGGAGGGAGGGCAGCAAAGGGCTTGGGGTTTTTTTTGCTCCCCTCCCACTCCCACCCTAGGCTCAGTAGCAGCATCCCCAGCCCTCAACCCAGGAGCTGCCCTTGCTCTCCCTGCACGGTGGGACCTTCTGCCCAACCCGAGTCCTCCTCTCCCAGTGGCCCCCACAGGTCCCCAGTGCCCCCTGCCCCAAGCCCAGGGCTCCTCCCAGGCTGCAGGGGCTCTGCCACCTTCTTCTGCTGCCCGTGCCCTTGCTGAGCTCTGCCAGGGCTGGAGCAGGAGACTTAACAGGTTGTGTTTGGTGCAGCCTCCCCTGGCCCAGCGCCTGATGCTGCAGGAGAGCTCCCTGGCCCAGTTTGCCCTGCAGGGTGCAGCCTCCCTTCCAGCCATCACCCTGGGATTGCCAGCTGCCACTAGTGCCAGGGTAGGTGGCCAGGTTGTAGGGAGCCCCAGAACTGGGCAGGAGGTCCCTGCTGGGCACTGGGAAACCCTTTTCCTCTGGCCCTGGGGTTCCCGGGACAGCGCCAGGTGTGTGCCCTGCTCTGGGCAGGGTGAGGATGAGCCATCCCTGCCCCTGCTGTGTCCCAGCTAATCCTCCTCCTCCTCCTCCTCCTCCTCCTTCTCTTCCTCCTCCTCCTCCTTCTCTTGCTTCTCCTCCTCCTTCTC